CCCAGCCAGCATGCTGGCTGGGGAATTCTGGGAGTTGAAGTCCACACATCTTAAAGTTGAGAAACAATGGTCCATCTAACTGTACAACCAGAGCCACAGGTCTGTTCACGCTTACCTGGCCGTAATTTAAGTTTCCACGCATACAAGCACTGGGTTTACGCTCTGTATTAAGCTAGGAGCATGTACAACTGTTGGTTTCAGGCTACCAACCCCACTGTGCCTTTGAAGTGTGCTGGGGCGCACACTCTGAGAAGTGGGTAAAAGAACCAAATTGCTCTCGCTGTCCTTTTGTCGCAATTCAGGTTCACAACATACAAGGAAGCATCTTCTTTCTGGATGTCGATGTTCAGTGGCTTGGTCGGTAAAATGCAGAGCCACGTGCTGTGGTTTACGAACCGTAGGGGCAGGATCCAGACAGCAATACACTGATTCCAAAGCAAAGCCGGCCACATTAACACTAAGCAGAATGGTTAAATAAAAATGGCTTATGATTGTTCGCCACCCAGAGTCACTTGTTTGAGATGGGCGGCCATATAAATGGAATAAATGAATAACAAACCAAAGATTCGCCTACTTCTGAGTAGACGCTGTAGGAGGACAGCCGATGGTGGCCCCCAAATCAGCAGGTGTCTAGTAGCACCTTTTCTGGTTGACCAGTTTTATTCAAAGGTGTAAGTTTTCATGAGCTGCCACACCCTACAGCAGATGCCTAGAGAAACTCCCTTCTTCTACACCTGTACCCTGCAGGTTTTCTGTATCTACCATTGTTACAGCACACTATTTGTGCAGGTGTTAGTTGGGGCAATAAATGGGCAGATGCAAAAGGCGTGGAGACAGAACGATGGTCCCAGGATAGGTCTGACATCCTACCTAACCCATCCTGCTATCCTTCCGCTACTCTGGTGAGCTTCTGGGTCAATGGTGGTCCCTTTGTCCTCTGGTTCAGGTGGCACAATGCCATGAGCTGATCCTGTTTTAGTCTATCCCCAGGATGGGGTTTCTCAAACTTTGCAGTATGGCCCCCCTTGAAAATGAAAACTGAGCTGGTATGACACCCTTTCCCTGCATGGAGAATGCAAATGATTTAGATGAGCAAGAAAATACACGGTTATTTTTCAGTAATTAAATATTGGTGGGAGTCTCACATTTGCAGGATTGCAGTTGGTAGGTGTGGGCTAGTGCAGGCTAGACCAGGAGAAAAGCCTGATTGTTTTTTTTTTAATTAAGCTGCAACCCCTCTCTATATTGCTCGTGACCCCCAAGGGGTCGTGCTCGGCAGTTTGAAGACCCCTCTCCTGGGGGAAAAGCCGTGCATCTCCCCGTATGCAGAATCTGTCTTGCCTGCTTGCTTGGCACTGAGCTGTGAGCCTGTCCTAAGAGAGAGCTTTTTTTAACCAACAAGTGAGATTAAACTGGCTGTTGTGTTGAAACTAGCAGCGATCTGCTCGTAGGCTCAGATTTCAGACTTTGATTGACTCTTGTTCCTGTTGGAACGTCCATGATATATTACAGTCTTCCCAACCAGTCAGATTCTTAATTATCCCAGAACTGGGCCCATTTTAGATGTAACGTTTCCTTGCGGCCATCCATTTGCATCCGTGGACCATTTGATCTCCCGCTTCTGCCAAAATAGTTGCATTTCCTTTGACAGGTGCCAAAAGTTTGACCCAACCATTTATCACTTGGAAGTTAATGACTCTAATGGACTCCACCATATGTTTCTCTTCTTGTTTGGTCTTTATCATTGGACAAGATGTCCAACAGGATGAAAAGAGGCAGGCGGTGACTTGAATGCCACCAAGCCTGCTTGCTGCCTTCACATTCTTCTGGGGTTGCCAGCGCAGGAAATTGGAGGAAAATGGACTTCCTTGATGTTTAAACCAGATGGAAGCCAAGATGTGGCAATATTGACATTTGTTTTCCGTGGCGGTTGTGTCTGTTTGCTTTGCTGTTCCTTGCTTATTTTCAGATGGGCTAAGCTAAGCCACAAGATCTCATGGCTTGAAAAGAGGACTAGACAAATCCATAGAGGACAAGCTCTAAGTAGCCAGTATATGACAGCTGTATGTATGATTTGTAGAGGTGTGATTTAGAGAGCAATGGAGACGGAGGGTTTAGAAAAGTAATGTGATGGTTTTGAAGGAGGAATTCAATGGCCATTGTGTAAATATCAGCTTAGCTTGGATAGATAGGAGGGGGTGAAGAAAAAAACTCAAGATTGCCCTATCTTGAGTCTCTTTGGTATAAGGGGATAGAGAGAATCTCTGTCAGGTTTTCAAGATTCTGTTGAGCTAACAATATAACCATAAAGTATAACCCATAACAGTGAAGTAAGAGTTCCAGTCGTTCGTATGGTGTCTATTTTCTGGCCTGGTCTTCCTCAAAGGGCTGACAGGGAGGAGCATCACCCTTTCCAGTTCGTGAGATGTCCGGTTGGTTACAGCAGGTCACACATGCTGCAACAGCTGGTCCTTTGACCTGATTCAGGAGGCTTACAATATGTTTGGCAACACATATGCTAAAATTGGAATATATAAAGAATACATAGAGATAGATTTGGGGGGCAACCCTGCAATCATAGAATTGGAAAGGGCCACATTTGTCTCAGGGGCTCCCTTGTGGCTGGAAAATCTCAACCCAAGCAGGAATTAACTGGACAGAGCAGCAGGAATGCAGAGAATGTAAACTTGCAATGTCTTGCAATGGATGTGACTTGGGAGCATGAGAAGAAGGCTGGCTCTTTCTCATGTGTTGGAGTTAGGGGTGGGAAAAGAGCGTGCTGAATTTGAAGTAAGTTTGGGTACAGATTCTGTACTATTTTTCTGACCTGCTTACATACTTCCAATTGCCTTCTGGTTGTGCCAGAATTATAATAAATATTTGGTTTCTAGCTATGTGTGTACAAGTCTCTGAGGAATTATAGCATAATTTGTGCCTGTGGAGCTCAGAGCAGGGGTCCAAATGATGGTCACAAATGATGGTTGTACAGCTTCTGCTGAAACACAGCGAGTGAAGGGTAGCCCATCACCTCTGTTGGTCATTGGATCCACCATCAAACTGCTCTTACCTTTAGTTTTTCGAACATTCAGCTATTACCTGCCGATCAAGTACTTGAAGGTTCACATCCTCCTTGATCTTCTCTTCTCAGAACTAAATACAACTGGCTTCTTTCACTTCTTGTGGGATTAGTCTCCAGTTCCTTGATATCCCTGTTGCCATTTAGTTAATCTGTTGATGAAGATTCTCAATCATCCAGGTGGAATTATCTGGAGGTTGAGTCATGGCAATTGGACTTCTTTTCAGAAAAGAAAGTCCACTTGCCATGACTCAACCTCCAGATTCAATTAAAACTTCTGTTCAAGTTTCTCTGATTTTTTTCTTTAAAACGGAGTGCCCAGAAATGAAGTTATTGAGGTGGAGTCTAAAGCAGAACAAAGTTAGAATATGCTTTCAGATAACTCAAAAGCAGTGTTTCTGTTGATGCAGTCTAGTGTTGCATTAGCCGCTTTTGAAACCAGGTTGTATGACTGACTCATATTCAGCCAGTGACTGACTACTAATTACTAATTTTAGATTTTTAATGTAACTTTCAAAAAAACTAAGTTCGCTATATCTCACCAGGATGTTAGAGCTTCTCAGGTTAATGTAGTGAAGCACATCATGAGGGAGATACGATTAAGAATGTTGTCTGTATTAATTCTGGACGTTCTGGTGTTTTGCTCTTAAGGTTAAATTAATGTTAAGTTTTGCAAGCAGGTACCTAAAAATCCAGACTGTGATTAAACCACTATTCAGATCAACAGGATTAATTGAACTTGTAGTTCCTTTCAGCAATATAGTCTTATTGAAAACAAGCATTAAATATTCAGATCAGTTTAGGATTTTTTTCAAGAAAGCCTTGCATTAAGTGGAAGCGACAGGTGGAAATTAACTTCTTATTTTAAACTTCATTTGCATACTTAACTGAAGCAGAAGTTACTGTTAAGTTTTTCTGCACCAGTCTATGGAACTCTATACAGTTTTGCTGTGGTGGCTTGACCTTAACCGCACTCTGATTTTGGATTTTCCTTTCCTTCATCTCCTTTCCAAGCTGTTTTTAGAAAATGGAATTGCCTGACTCTGGGTGAGGTTGACTCAAGTTTAATTTTGTGTTCTGTTCATGTTCTACAAGAATAGATGTGGCTCCTTTGCACGGTCATTCCAACATTCCAGAATTTCTCATCCACAGCACTTGGAAACATACTTTTTTTTTTTATTTTGGTCTTAGTTTGCTTCAGATAGAAAATACTCCTTTCCTGCTGATAGATTCTTGGGGGCGGGGGGTTAAGCTACCTACCTATTGTTTTTAATGGACCAAGGGGATTTTATCCTCATTGTTTTACAGGCTGTGTTTAAGAGGCATCTTTCAGAATATACAAGGATTACATTTCACCCGTGTTGTTTTTCCCTATAGATCAGTGTTTCTCAACCTCAGCAACTTTAAGATGGGTGGACCCCAACTCCCAGAATTCCCTCCAGCCAGCATGGGTGGACTCCAACTGGCTGGGGGAATTCTGGGAGTTGGAGTCCATCCATGCTGGCTGAGGGAATTCTGGGAGTTGGAGTCCACCCATCTTAAAGTTGCTGAGGTTGAGAAACACTGCTATAGGTTGTTGAATGGTTGAGTCTGCATAGTGCACATAACTATCGACTGTGGTTCATAAACCACAAGATGCTAAGCCAAACAAACCACATAATGGTTGGATGCAGTCTGTAAAACTCAGCCAAGAAGCTGATCTTTCTAAGAGGCACATTAACTCACTTTAATTTAATTCTTTTCTAGGATCCAGCTGGAATATTTGAACTAGTACAAGTCGTTGGAAATGGGACATATGGGCAAGTCTATAAGGTATGGGATATTTTTGAAGAATGAATGAATAAATAAATATATTTAATGGCAACAAGGGGTAATTCATTTCTGAACTGAGATGCTATTCTAAACCATGGCTTGGCAACCTTAAACATATGATTTGAATTTTCTTCAGTTTACAAACCATGGTTGCCCAGCGAGCAAATCTGGGTATTAGCCATAGTTTGAAATGGTTTTGCAAGCTACGCTTTATTCTGACAGCGGTCTGTAATATGCATGAATTCATGAACCACGAAAAAAGCAATTGTTTACCATGAGAACAAAAGGAAGGTTATGTTGATATGTGCTGGGTAGATGAGGAAAAAAAAAAAGAGAGAGAGAAGTTTCAAATTGTGGTTCTTTTACAGGGTGTTTGTGCATTCAGATGTTGGTATGAGTTTCTAACTCTGTTTATGACAAATACTGATTTAGCTGCAGTTGAGGCAACGACCTCTATTTGCAGCAACGTCCTGTGCCCTTCAAGGAAGTGTTGAAGGATACCAGGAAACTGTGATTAACCATTATTTCTTGCTGTATGCACCTGACAAATTATGGGTAATGGTTTCCAAAACAAGCCAGGATAGCAGTTTTCAATTTTAAACATGGTTCAGCTTTACAATCAGGTAAGTTATAATATGGTTTGGGTTTGGATAAGTAAAATGGTTCCATGTTTGCACAACATTCTAAACCAAGCTTTGCTTACCTATAGTTTGTATAATAAACTATTATTGGTTAGGTTCACATAATTCACCAAGTCATAAACCTTGGTTTATAAGCTACAGTGATTGGATTCTCTAAACAATGGCTGTTTGATTTTGGCTTAGCTAGTTCAGTGAACTTAGCCTCAATGAATTGACTATATATGGCTTAGTATTATGTGCAAACCTGATCAACATTGTTGGCTTAACCAAATATATTTTAAAAATCTTGACTTTCTATGATAAGGGAACCCCATCACAGTGGATTAAAATTGGATACAGTATCCTAGTTTGCTTGGAAGTCATTAACCATGATTTTAACGTTAGATATAATAGCTAATGAGGGCTTCCTGGCTGATTTCTCTGTTGATGGAAAGGGAGAAGTGAAGCGGACATGGTTTGGCAGAGGAAACGGGTTCCTATATCAGTTTGTTAAGCCAAACCTCAAAGCATCCAAATGCAGCGAGTGATTAATGTAAGCAAGTCTTTGGGGAGTGTGATGCTGTAATGTAACTAATTCCATCTGATTATAAAGCTCTGAGCATCTTTGATTGATGGTTGAACATCCCTTCCAACTGTTTTGCTGACGTTCACTTCCTCGCTTATGTTTCTTGTGGTTATTGTGCAACTTTTGTGCTGTTTGGTTCCAAAATAAGCGATTGGGCATATCACAGCAGGAATCTGCTTTTATCCAAGATGGATATTTGAAAGTAATTTAAAAAAAAAAATACAACTTGGAGCCAGTCAGGTGTGAAAACAGAGGCTTTGGTTGGGTCTACCAGTTGTCCTAAAGCCACAATGTGCATTGTGGAATGTATGCCTTAATGCAGCCTGAGACCCCAACTTTTGTTTGTAAATCACAGCTTATAACTTAGGGCAGACTTCCTAAGATATCTGGACTTTAAAACCGCACTGGGGAATGTTGGCTACAATAGGGTACAATCCTGCAGTGCCTTAAAGGTGGTAAGAGAAGCTGGGTTGGAATAGGTCTGTTTGGGGGTGGGGAAAATGGATTAACCTAGCAAAAGCAAGTAGTTTGGAGAACTTCTTTTTTCATTTAACAAATGCCCAGTGATAGGGCTGCTCTGTGCCAGAATTAGGGAAGGGTTGCCTTGTGCAGGCTTGTGGTCTTCACAAGGCCTTGCTGGACTCCTTACAACTGTTTCATGCTCTGCCCATCTATCCAAATAGGAGGATCCAAAGCAGGCTAAAGAGCTGGTGTGGTGGGGCTCCTCTGAGCCTGGGAGCTGTTTTGTGGTTTGGGGGAAAGTACGTCTTCCTGCTTCCTATATTTCTGGGTTTTGCCTAAAAGCATCTCGGTGAACATCCAGGAGGCAGCCTTTCTCCTGAGCAGAGGAAAGACCAACATAAAAGAGAGCTCATGATTGGGCAGGAGGTAGAAGTCAGAGCAGAAGGCTTCTTGTGGGTTTCTTAAATCATGAAGGGTGGAAGCAACCTATCTATCGTGTAGAGGCCTGAACTGGAGAGCAGCGCCTCAGGCAAGAGTTGAAGGCTAAATTTAAAAAAATACTTCCCAGGAAGTGCTGAAAGAGAAAAGCCTGTTAACGAACACAGGGTGGAAGAAAAAAATAATAATTCTATTATGGTGCTGAGCTTCCAATCTGTTGACTGTTTCCTCTAGATAAGGGTTGCCAACTGCTTACATCTTCTTTGATTCAGAAAAAAAGAAAAAGGAATCTTCTTTTGTCTTTACTGACTCAGCTTCAGATGCAGAGGTGCAGGAAAACTAAAGACATAGGGGGGAAACATTCCTTCCTGTATCCTCTTACAATAATGTGGCATCCGTAATACTTAGACTCAACTCTCTTCCTCTGTTCTGATTTATTTGCAGCCCTACTCACTTCTTCCATGTCTATCTTAGCTTCTTCAGATGTTTCACGGCTATGTTAATTCCTGTCTCACCTAAATGGATTCGATTGACCTATAAAATTGCGAATTGTTGCAGGCTTTTGACACTGCGGCACTATGAGGTTTACATCCTGGATTTATATGTGGGAAAGAGATGACCCACTTTTGTTGTTGAGAAGTAGGCCAAGTTTTGCTTGAAGACAGTTTTTAGCAGCCTCGGTTTTGTGGTGTGCACTTGCTAAATTTAAGCTTTGGGATTTGGGAATAAAAATGTGTCAAGCTTTAGCTTCTTAATCATTTTGGTACCAATCTTTTCGACTTCTTTTTGTCTGTTTCTGTCCCCTTTCTGGTATTTGTGACTTGTAACTCAGTTCCAAGGGTTCATTACAGATCTTGGATGGTGGGTAAGGAGCCTGCTAACTAAACATGTAAATCTGTAAGAGGTAGTATTTTGTTTCACAGAGTGAAAGAATTCAGATAGTCCAAAACCTGGTGGATCAGAGCAAGTCAAAGTCCTGAAAATGAGGAACTCTTAATATCAGGGCCTGCATCAGAAATCCTTTCGGTCTGAGGCTGAGATTGTCCTAGTGTGAGTTCCTTTGGCCTTTTTTGAGCAAAGGCAGAAGTATTGAGCACAATGGCCCAAGGTTTAGTTACTGGCCCTCAACTTCCACGTTTGTTATTAATGGCTTAGAACTGGAGGGGTTACAGAGTAGAGGGAACATGTATCAGATTTGCAGCTGACACAGCACTGGATGGGAGGGCTAACATAAAATTCAGAACGATCTTGATCAGTTAGAGAAATGAGCTAAAGGTAATAGAAGGAAACTGCATAAGAGACCCATGCATAATTATGCACATGGGAAACAGACATCAAAAGCATAGGTATAGATGGGAATACCGGGTTTAGCAACTGGACTTATGAAAAAGGATTTTGGAAGAGCAATTGATTACAAAATGAACATGAGTCAATAAGATGATGTGGCTGCAATAAAAGGCAACTGCAGATGTCTAGTATCCAGCTCATAGGAAGGAATTCCATTTTATTCTGCATTGGTCAGACCCCATCGTGAATAGAATGTCCAGTTCTGGATACCACATGTTAAGAATATTTCAAACAAGCTGAAATAGATTCCAAGAAGGGCAAAAAGGATGACCAAGAGATTAATAACTAAATCTGACAAAGAGAGATTGAAAGAAAGTTTAGTCTTGAGAAGAACAAACTGGGAGAGGGGATATTCTTGCATTTTCCAGAATGAAGGAGCCTCGTGCAGAAGAAGGTTGAAATCTGTTTCTGTCATCCCAGAATACACAATGTGGAATAATTACCTTAAGTTACAGGAGGGCGGATTCCAGTTGAAGGTTCTGATACTCAAGACAATCCCACAGACGTCTTTCTCATTTCTTGGCAGCCTGAATAAATACATTGAATTAAAAAAAAGTCACTTGCTGCCCTTTCATTGCCCTCCAGCAAATGGGAGGGTGGTTCTACTTTTGATGGAGAAAACTTAGAATCTTCTGCAGGAACAAGAAGGGAGAAGGCTTTACAACAGCATAGTTGGTGATGGGCAGGCTATATTATACCACTGGATTGGCACAGTCAACGATAAATACGAAGGGACCACTTCCAACTTCTGACTCTGGCTTCAGGGAAGAAGTCCCACCTCTGAATCTTCCTAAAAAAGGCCTTCCTTAATGTCTTGCCAGATGTTCCTTAGAGGCCCTTAGTGAATTGTGTCCCTTTCTCCCCAGCTGGTAGTATATCAAAGTAATTTAGCTATTGGCTGTTCTGGCTGGGGCTTATGGGAACTGGAGGCTATATCTCCCCAGAGCGGATTTCTCTCCCCAATATATAAATTATCTCAAAAGACAAAGTGTGGGCAGGACAATCCAGGGATTTAACTAATCTCTGATATAGTATCTGAGATTGGGTGCCCATTAGGAGTCAAGTAGGCATTCCCTGCCTTGGGGGGCATAGGACAAAACCTTTCCCACCTTACAAGCAGAATGCAGGAGGATCCTGACTTTTGGAGTTGATTCCCTGAAAAGTTTTCTCCAAAAACAATTGAAGCCAAAGGGCTGGTCTTTTTAAACCCACTGGGGGCACTTCTCCATTCATGATGGCAGAAGATCTCATTAAAGCTAGAAAACTATGAATCTTTCCTGATTAGCTGTCATCACAGGTGGTATAAAATTTTGTAAAGCTTAAGAAATTCGCCACTTATTGAAATGTAATCCTCTTTTTTTATGTCTGTGTAAGTATTAAACTATTGTATTTTCCCCTCTGGGTATTATTAATTAACCAGAATTAGCCATAGACCTCTGCACTGCATTAAAGTAATTTCCCAGGAATTGTTCCTATCAGTATTAATGCGACTTCCTTAATAGCCAGTGGGTCAGGCTTAAGTCCCATACATTTTCTTTTTCAATCGTTTTATTGCGACCACTGACCAGTACTTTCAATAAATTAACATGTGGAAGGGTTTTCCAGGGATCTGGTGAGTCTTGATTTAACTGGCTAGGGAAATCAGTAGAATATTTCATTCCAGGCAATGTTTGGGACTTAAATTAGGGTGCCAGGTTGTCTGGAAGGACTTCATACTGCCCTGTGAAACTTTCAATGCCTGGAAACATTTGAAAACAATGGCTTCCTATAAAGGAACACAAACTGTGACATCAGCTGAATACAAACTGAGGGCAAATCTGTGTCTGGGATACAGCTAGTATTTTGCAACATCGATCTGTGTATGTGAGGGAGAGATTCTGATGCACCTCGGTGTAGATCCTGAGTAATTTTAAGGAAGTTGGAGAAGATCATTGTTCTGTCTCCCTGCCCTCCTCTATGGTCACCCATGTCTCTTTGAAAATAACCATCCAAAATTTTTTTGGGGTGGTGGTGGTATGGTAAACAAAGTTAGGATGTATTGGAGAATTTGCCCAAAATTGGATAGAGGTTTTTGAAAAGTTATCCAAGAGATAAACTCTGAGATTGAGGCCAAGTAATACTGAACCTCAGGTTGGTAGGTGATCTTATTCAGGGAATAGAATTTCAGAATCCTCTATCGTAAGGATAAAACCTTCTTTAGTACAATCTATGTCAGTGTTTCTCAACCTTGGCAATTTTAAGACGTGTGGACTTCAACTCCCAGAATTCCCCAGCCAGCAATGCTGGCTGGGGAATTCTGGGAGCTGAAGTCCACACGTCTTAAAGTTGTCAAGGTTGAGAAACACTGGTCTATGCTTATATCAACTCCCCAGCTCTTAGTTTCCTTGCTGCCAATGTGCTAGTAGCCATATTTCTCAAATAATACATTAACATATTCAAATATGCTCAATCTGTCCTCTATTTTTCTTGGGGAAAATAGCACTTCTTTGGGGTGGGCGGTGTTGGTCAACTGGTTTTGAGCAGTTAGAACGAGGAAGGAAAAAAAGAAAAGGGCATTTCATTCCTGGGGCTTTTATTTAAAATCAGCATATCTTGCTTTTTTATCTAGCAACTGACCTTCAAGGCAAGCTAACAATTAAAAAAACAAAACAAAAAACCGCTCACCCAATAAATGAGATGTCAGCCAGCCTGGGAGGATTTAAGACTGCCAGATTCTTAAGCAGACAGAATCTGGTAGTTCAGATATGGAATTTGGAAAGCATCTAGTATAGAAATTGGTTGATTATATGCCATCACGTTGGTGCTGACTCTTAGGAACCACATAGATAGATTTTTCTCCATAATGATCTGTCCCTAATCAGGTCTTCCAACAGAGCACGCATCACCATTCTGAGTCCATCCACCTTGCTGTTATGCATCCTCTTCTTCTGTTTCCTTCCACCTTTCCCAGAATTAGAGCCTTCTCCAGAAAGCTGGGTCTTCTCATAATGTGTCCAAAGTACACTAATTTGAGCCTGGTCAGTTGTGCCTTGAGTGAGAACTCTGGGTTGATTTGTTTGTTGATCCCTTTGTTTGTTTTCTTGGCTGTCCATGGTATTCTCAGGAGTCTTCTCCAGAATGCAGTGCTTCAACTGTCATCTCCCAAAGATGCTTTGGCCATGGAAGTAGGCCTTGTCTGCAGCCCCTTAAAACAGCGGTCTTTTCCCAGGATAACATTCCTTGGAAAAGGCATGGCTCCATTATGGTATTTAGAAATCAAATCCAAGTTAATACACAGCCCTAGCATTTGGCAGGTTGGGGTACAATACATGGAAGGTTGAGAGTTCCATAGGAGAAGATGTGTTTGAAGTGCCAAATGTCACTTTATCAGTCCTCCAGGATCACTACTGAAAAGGATTGAACCAGGTGATATATGAGATCTTTCTTTGTCCACAGTTCTAGAGAGTCTTTGCCATTCAGAGTAGGCAATTCTAGACTTAATGAATAAAATAATCTGGAAGAATTAAGGCTGGTGAGATGGGAACCAACAGTTTCCTGGCTTGACATGACCATTATGTAAACAGATCATAACCTCCCAACTTCAAGGTCTTTGAGTGCCCCAACAAGGATCCATTAATTTGGAAGGAAGAAGCCAGGAATTTAAACCTTTGGAAATACATGGCATCTTTGCACTGTAGTGGGAAATCAGCTGTGCCATATGGCTCAATTCTAGTCTGCAATAAAGATTGCAATCTAGCCAGATCATCTGTGAGCCTTCTGCCAAGTGAAGATGAAAAGTCAAGCTAAGCTGCGAAGTGTTGGGAACTCTATGATTTATTGCTGAATCCTAGTAATGAAAGCCTGACATAATCTGATCAGATAAAGGCAGCTATTTCCTTAGTTTCTAGAATTAAGAATTAAGAATTCTAGAAACTAAGAATTCAAAAAATCTAAATGTCTGGAAAACATTTGGATTTTTCGAATATGCATACTTGCCTTGTTTGGGTCAGATCCAGTCAATGTCTTCTATTTCGACTTGCAGGTTATTCCAAAAGAAAAAGAAAAAATAAACTTGGGAGAGTGAAGGAATGATCAAGATTGCGATTAGAGGAACCATCTAATATGAAGTAGGAACTTAATGGAGGAAATGCTGTAGATTAAATGCTTTGAAGCTCCTATGGAAGAAAGTCTCATTTGATGGGGGAAGCAGTTCTGTTATCTACCATTGTTGAGCATGGTTGAACTGAAGATTTTCTTTTGGCAAAACGGATTATTAATCACTGAAGGGCCTCATTCTCAAACTAATCACAACAAAACAAAACCAACCTTAGCAGAGGAGTATAATTGATCAGATTCATAAAAAGATTCTGATTGGAAATCCAGTTGTTTGCACAGGGGAGGCTCACTTTGCTATAGATGGTCATGCTGTCCCCATTGCTGCACATCACTCTAGCAGCTGGATATTGATTTCCTGTTAGGTGTAGTGCAAATTGCTTTCATTGCACTGGATCCAGCTTTAACACTCCAGTTTATAGTAATGTATTTCAAAGTGATTGATTGAATTCGTTGGTTTATAAAGGCAATTCACCCTGCATCGTTAGGCTTACGTGATGGCTTTATTTGCTTTGTTTTTCCCTTCCCAGGGTCGCCATGTGAAGACAGGACAGCTTGCAGCAATCAAGGTTATGAATGTGACCGAGGTGAGCAAAGACTTGGCTTGGCTCGGCTGGAAAAAAAATGAAGAATGTTTTCCCCAAAGCACCCACCCAAAGATGATGAATTGTGGCATTTGAGATTGACACAATTAATGGAATCCAGACAGCAAAGTTAAGGGGAGGGTTTATTATCCAGAAGAAGGGGCGTATTGCGGGTCCTGTCAGCCAAGGAGTTTTGTTTGGTGGGATCCATGGCCCCAGATCTCTGGAACATCATGCCCCCCAAGGTGAGATTGGCCCCGCCCCTCTTGGCCTTCTGGAAGGCCCTCAAAACTTGGAAGTGCCATCGGGCTTGGGGATCCCAAGGAAGTAGGGAGCCTATTAAATGGTTAGATCAGTGTTTCTCAGCCTTAACGACTTTAAGATGTGTGGACTTCAACTCCCAGAATTCCCCAGGGAATCTCCCAGGCAAAATCTTGCTGATATTATGCTTCCAAGTCAGCCCCACTAGGTAGACCAGATCAGGAAATCAACTCCACACGCAGGCTAAAGCTATTTTGATTGAGACTGGCTACCATAACAGGATCTTGCAAGTTTGATTCTGGATTGAACCTCCTCCTCCTTCTTATACGCCAGTGAATCAGGGAGGCATCTGCCTGTACCATTTCTGAATATGATCTCATTTCCCAGGGCTTAAAGAATGTTTCAGCCCCTCTTGCCTATGTAATGGTTCTTGCACATTTCCATCAAAGTCATCTTCCTTACCTCTACATCAGTGTTCCTCAACCTTGGCAACTCTAAGATGCGTGGACTTCAACTCCCAGAATTCCCCAGCCAGCATGCCTGGCTGGGGAATTCTGAGAGTTGAAATCCACACCTCTTCAAGTGGCCAAAGTTGAGAAACACTGATTTAATTAATCTCATTTTAATCTCATTAATCTTAGTGGAAAGGGAACTAAATGTGTTTTTTTTCTTCTCAGCCCTCCTTCTTGGTCCTACAAACGCAGCTCACAGCCAGAAAGTAGTTGGTATTCTTGATGCACAAGATACTATAAACTTCTGGCATCTTCAATATTCCCGACTATATGAAACGTACAGTGCTGGAGATTATTTACACTCAACCCCATGCATTTCATTTGGCATTAAGCCAGCCCACAACACCAGCCTGAAACTCCAGCGTTCTCAGCTCCTCTCATCAGAACCATTTCCCCTCCATCAAAAGAAAGCAACCAAGCTTCAGTCTTGCCAAGAAGCATCCAGCCTTTTTTTTTTTGCTTTATCAGATACCAGGAAGCGAGGTTTGCAGAACCCAGATTCACTCTCACATCCAGGCGCTGCAAGTGGAAAGTTCCCACACCCCTCCCAGAAACGCACTCCTGAAGTGGGTCTGCCTGGCAGATGGGTTGATTATCCTCTGGTGACCACCATCACATCTTGCTGCCTGAGCAGCTCCCGATAAACCAGCTGAGCAGATCAAAGCTGAAGATCAAGAGGGACCAGAAGCAGCAGCTGAAGTTTTGCCAGCCTCTTTGGAAGACACAGCAAATGCATTTTAGGATCTCTGCTTGCAAGGGCAAAATCTGAAGCTGCTCTCTTCAGCTCTGTGATTCGGGATGCTTAGAAAGCAGAACAACTGCAGTTAAAATCTATTCCCTTCCCTCTGCCTTTCAAAAATGGGGAGGGGGGATCAAAAAAGGAGAAATGGTACCTACAACTTCTCCTGGCCTCAGCATTGCCAACATGGTTCCTCTGCCCTCAATTCCAAAGAGCAAAGAGGCTGGTTTGTGAGAGACCAGGACGTTATGAAAACCCAGTAGGGGCGAGAGAGTAAGCCAACAGGAAACCTATTTGCTATCTCTAGAAACAGATAATCATCCAGAAATAAGAAGGAAGAAACTCTTCTGCTTACTACAAATCAGCAAAAAATACATGAGCATCTTCAACCACTGTAGTCCAATTGCATCATCACAATGGAATCCTAGACCAGGGGTCAATCAAACTAAGTAAACAACATGCTTTTGCAAAAAAAAAGCAGGGTGCGAAGAACTGAATTGATATCGAGCAGAGGGCTTTCTCCCATAAATAAAACATGATTTGAATACCTGAACTGGTCCCTTCATAGCCTTCCCACTAGATAATTGATGTTATAACTCACCAGGATACTTCCAGATTTGTCTGTGTAGAGCAGTGTTCCTCAACCTTGGCAACTCTAAGATGCGTGGACTTCAACTCTCAGAATTCCCCAGCCAGCATGGGGAAAGGCTGGCTTGGGGATTTTGAGAGTTGTAGTCCCCGCATCTTTGAGGTGCCAAGGGTGATGGAAAACGCTCCACACAGAAAACACCGGAAG